TTGTTTACTTTTCCTCATAATTATAAATATATTAGCGATAGAATTGTTTTAACATTCCTTTCATTTTCTAAATATAATAATGGAACACCTGGTATATACAGCGTGTCCCAGCGAGTTGGAAAAGTCCATTAGTGACCTTTAAATGGCAAAATTAAAAAATATATATATACAGGACAATGGGCCGTATGAATAAAGTTGAAATATTTACTTAAAGCATGAGTACAAAGTTAAAGCATTTGATAAGTATGAATAAGCTCTTGCTTTTTAATTCGGAGTAAATGCTTTAATTTTTCCAAGAATATGATCTAAAAATAAATCAACCTAGTAGACTATAGTAAGATTTTAACCTAGTAGAATTTCTTGGTGTGCGAAAAGGAGTCATAAGCCAAGGTTCTAAGCCATATCCACTATCTCCAAAAAAAATTGAATTAAAGTTTTTTCTACTGAAAATTTCTCGAATTTGTGAATTTCTCCATATTCGGGAATTATAAACTGAACCTGTCCATAAAGCATCAATACTAGTAAGTACTAGTACTTGCCATCACATAATGCCTGCACATTTAAACTAGTAAAGTTTTTCCCATTTATGTATTCATTCGCATGTAAAGAAGGTTTTAAAATTCGGACGTGTGTACAATTGCAGTTTGTTGGGAAGTGATATTTGGCATGCCATTGTTGTTTTGCCTCATTAATGGAAATATTTGTCGAGCGAAGTGAATCCACTCATCAGAATCCTGTTCATCATTTCAGTTATCGTTTTAGAAACTGTACTTTGATGAACTCCAAGTTTTTCTTCAGTTCCTGTTTGCCATCCAGGATCTGCCAAGTACGGGAGGAACATCATTTTTTATTCATATGACGTTTCGTTGTTCTCAGACAAAAACACCTAACCAAAGCATGAAGATTTTCTCGTTCAAACCGATATAAAGTTTTGAAATCTTTCTCTAAGGGTTCGCGACGTTGTTTGTACGTTTTTCTTACCCCTAGTTGTACAACATCTGCCATCGTTTCGACTTTAATGTATTACTTTTAAAAAGTGATGCTCCTACTGAGTAGCTTCAACAATTTTGAAGAAAATGCTCAACGAAAAATGCATTTACTTTGTTTTTTTCATTTTGTTTTGAATAAAACCTCGACATTGAAGCAAATACTCGCCCAAAATGCCTTTACTTTTAGTAAAAGCTTATACTTACATTTTTATTCATACATTTTAAAACATTTATTTGCAAAATTTGAAGCAGAAGCATTTACTCAATTTTATTCATACGCCCATTGATAGATACTAATCTACACTACCGCTCTCGGAAGAATGGACACTATAGGTAAATAAATAAAAAAGGTTTTTTCGATGAGAACAAAATCTAGTTTATACATTCTATTGTAAATAAAAGTTTGCTGTTTTTATAAGAGAATTTAGTAAAAGCACGGTTTTATTTGCCCCCACTGTCCATTCTTCCGTGAGCGGTATTGAATGTAGTCCATCGCCTAAAATTATTTTCAACTATACAGCATGTCTCAAAAAGAAGTTACAATACAAACTTGTGTTTTTTTAAATGAAACACCATATGTTTCTTTGCGTTTTTGGATGTAGATTGTTATGACAATGTTTTTATTGGTTGATTTTGATTAGTTTTAAAAATAAGACGGTTATTGACAAAAACAAGCACTTTTTAAAAATATATTACACAAAAACTAAGACATCTTGAAATATTTTTACTACCGCAAAGAAGAAGGTACAAGCTATAAGGTTGTAACAATTTTTTAATGTGTTGCATTTGCAAAGATAAAAAAATGAAGGCGTTTGTTAAACGTTCAATAATTTTAAAAAATTTAAGTGGAACACCCAATTTATTGTTTTTGCATTTAAAAGATTATTAAATTGTCTCTCTAAAATTATTTACTTTTAGGTGTTTATAATTAATAACTAAAAATATAATTAACTTTAAACATTAAAAAAATAATTACATACTATTGTTTCAGTTGCCAAAAAGTGCACAGTTGTAAAAGAGATGGAAAAAATATCACTTAACAATCAGTTAATCACATTTGTGTTAAACTAAATCCATTATTCTTTATTTTTACAATAAAATAATTTGAATTTCAGTATTTATAACGACTTTTACAATCTCTGGATAAATCAACGGATAAGTGATCCGTGGTGGAATTACTACGGTTGTCCATAGTTTAGACAGATAGACAATTTATCAATTATTATTATTAATCATTAGATTATTATCAATTATTAGATGCAAAAGTAAAAAATAAATTGTTCTATTTAAATTTTTTAAGTTATTTAACTTTTAACAAACTTCTTAATTTATTTTACAACAGCTTTAAGTTCTGTACTTTCTCTTTGCAGAAGTAATACAAAAATTTATTCTAGCTGTCTTAGTTTTTGTGGAATGAATTTTCTAAAACTAAGCGAATTCAATTAATAAAAATTTAGCGTAAAAACATTGTTTTAAAAGACTGCATCCAAAAATGCAAAGAAAGAGTGTTTCATGTAAAAAAAACATAAGTTTGTATCGTAACTTATTTTTGGGACATGCTATATGGTTGAAAATCATTTTAAGTGATGCATTAGATTAATATCTATCAATGGCCTATACATTTTTTTAATTTTACCAAATAAAGGTCACTAATGGACTTCTTCAACTCGCTGAGGCACCCAGTATGTGAATAATTATCAAATTTCTTACTTTACGACCTATTCTTCTTTCAATATTAACTCATCAAAATCACCTAATTACTACTACTGTCAAGCAAATAACTAAAGAAAGGAATCAACTAGTTCTTCCAAGTAGCCATCAAAGAATGATGCCACAAACTTGCGCAACGGTGGATTTTAATGAATCGTAATTACTATTCAGAAAATGTTGTCTTTTACCTTATTTAGATATTAATTACATGTTAATATTGACAGTTAAAAGCACGAGTGAAAGTGCGTGTAAAAGGGTGACAGGCTTTCGCAAACAATAATTATAAATCTTATTCTATTCAAAATTTCAGTTGGAAAAAAGCTATTATTGTGTATATAATCTACATTTACAATTTTCTTAGAGAAGGGGAGACTATGATTTCCTTTTTTTATGTACACAAAATGTTTCATCCAAAATAAAATCAGGTTCGTATTTTCAAATTTATATTTTTTAAATTTTTATACTGGCTGTATTATAAAAAACGCCACGAGCCATAAATTTCATTACTTTTAATAAAGACGTTACAATATGCAATTTTTTTTCGATCAAATTGAACAGTTTGTTGTTATCAGTCGTTTGCTAATCTTAGTTACAATGTTCTATTCTTCCACAGTCTACTTTGTTTAATTTAATTTTCAAATTGCTTATAAACAGAATTTAGTGATAAATAACAAATAGTAGGTTTTAGCGGCCAGAGTCAAGTTTAAGAATGCTATTAATAACTAGTGACGTATATATTTTTTTGATAACCATACTGATATTAAAAAACTGTTTGTGTCTTAAAAGTAATTCTTAATCTGTTTTTTAATACCATTTTCCAAGTATAGTATTAACAAAATGGGTCAATAACAAAATGGTTTATTTGTGAACAAGAACAAACTTGAAAATTTTTAAAATTCGGGAAAAATTCGGTTAGAGAAATAAGAACTGTGATTTTTAGAATGGACTCCTGCAAATAAAAATTTCGACAAAAAAATTGACAAGTATGTCAATGATATAAAAATAAGGGGTTTCTGTTTAAAATTTCAAAATTGGTACCAATTTCTTATAGTTCCCGAAGTTCAGCCGTTTTGGAAAAAAATTAGTTGAATTAAAAATGGTCGATTTTGGTTACATACAAAATTTCAAAGACGTAGTGACATTAGTAGTTGAAAAGTTTTTGATGTAGGCCCAACAAAAATCACTCTATATAATATGTATGTTTGTGCCCAGAACTTGTAAAACAAACGGTCGAAAAAGTTTATGATTTACTTCTATTACTGATAATAATTATAACAAATGTATGTATACAAATGTATTTTAGGTTTATTATTTTTTTTATTTTTTGAGTAAAAATTATGCAAGCTGACATCAACGCCTGCAATTTTTAACGTAAATTATTTTTTCAACCGATCTACGCATATACAGAGTGGAAACTGACTGATTTTTCTAGTTAAATACAGCGAGATCAAAAATTATCTTGGTCAAGAGTAGTCATGGATTTTAAAATAATTATCGTAGGTTTATGCGACGCTGTCATTAAGTCAAACATTTACAAAATTATTTCAAAAGGATGATATAAGCAACAACAGACGTTTATGACCAGCCTTGAACATGATTATTTTTGATCTCACGGTATTATCCAAAAACATTGAAAAAGTAGATACGAAAAAATATCACCCTTCAAAGTGTTTTCAAATTGTTGGCATTTTATACGTATTCACCCTGTAAGTTATAGACAGGCGCTTCTTGTTCACCCCTCCCTTTAACACCCCTCTCACTGAATTTAAAATTTCCACGGGTAGGAAATGTGCTGTTTAGCTATTCGAAAAATCACATGTGGTTTCTGGTAGGCAGCACCCGTTCGTTAATCCTCTCTTTTCTCTCCAACCCCACGAAAAATCGTAGTATCGTGTGATTGAAGCCTCGCACGCTCTGCCCTGTCCGAATGTGCTCTCAACCCTTCTAAGCGAGGGTGGCGGAGGCGGCGGCGGTGGCAGACGGGGGATGGGGCACATTAATATTGCGAAATGAAGCTCATTTGCATTTAAATAAGGTACTCGGCATGAGGGGGGTGCAGCAAGAGGGGCACTAATTACACTAACTACACAAAGAGCTCTCGCCTCGCCGGCCGCTGTCCAATCCCTCCCCGCCCCCTTACCACCCTTATTATGCCGGGGACGGCGACTATTCCCTGCTTGCTTGATTATCATTATACTAGAATAGATTATACTCGGACGAATATATTACGGTTTGGGTTTGCACCCCAAACTTTTCGCAGAGAAAAATTTCGAACTAACCCTTTTGATTTTTTTTCGGTAGGAGAGCGACTGCGAGAGCAGCGTCGGCTCGCCGGAACCGGCTTCGGGGGTCGAAGGCAGTACGGATTTGACCATGGGGACCAAAGGGATGCAACCCATGGGGCCCGAGGCAAAAATCCCGCCGAATGTATCCGCTGCGGCACATCTTAACGGAAGTATGAGTTTTTCTACCATACACAAAGTAGTTCAATTTTAATTTTATTTGGAATATACAAGGTGATTGTGAAATACATAACACGATTTATACCCATTAATATTGGAGATTCTACAGTGCAATTCAGATAAGATAATGAGCCTGACGATCTGACGATCTAATTTTAATTACGATTTGTATTAGCAATACAAGTTATCTCATGTTGCTCTGACAGTGCTTTGACAAGCAATTTATGATTTATAAAAAATAACTGTTTGCCTACCTTTATTCTTTCATACATTTTGTATTGGGTTTACACCGAAATGACTTCTCTAATTTCTCTATCATTCCGCGAGAGCTGAATGGCACTAATGATCGTTCTCTGCGCTGATGTCAGAGTGACATAAGATGCTAACTGGGATTCAACTTGCAAATCCTAATTCAAAATCAAAGGCGTAAATAAAATTTGTTTTTTGTGTTGCATCGCTAGATCATCAGGTTCATTATCTTATCTGAATTGCCCGATATACGCTATAACAAAATATGCATTTGTAAAAAATTGTCCATAATAAGGGCGGAAATCGTTATATAAAAATTTATTCTAAAGAAAAGTGAGTATGATGTAAAATAAAAATATCGAGTTTGAATCTAAAACTGAACTTACAAAAGTTAATAGTGTCTACAGCTTTTCGACATTTTTTTAAATATTTTTTCGACAGTTATTAAATATCGATGTGTATTTCAAAATCACCCTGTCTCTGTATACAGAAGTATAATCTGCTTTTTCAAACGAAAGTTTCTGAAATTACCAAATCAAAATTGTGTTGAGAAAATTTGTCAGCTTATTTTTATAGCGATACATACGACGACATACATTCGGCTACTGCGAGTTTTTTTTTGTTTTTTCAATGAAGATATGTTATTATGTACGTGGTTGTGGTTATGTTGAGATGTTATCGAAATTTTTACTTTTGAGCATTGTGTCATTACTTCTGCTCTTTTAAATATCTGAGAACAGACATCACTTCTTAGCTTCTCGCTAAAAATATTTTAATAGAAAAGGATCTGTATGTATGTAGATTTAGAAGTTTTGTATAATTCATTTGATAAAAGCACGATATTGATGCAGGTTTTAAATTTTAATTCTACTTTGGTTATAAAAATTTCCCTTTCTCAAATTTCGTCTTCAATTGTCTCTTTTCTTATTTATGATTATTGTATTCATGCTAATTTCTTGCTGAAAATTAGAGCATATTTAGCAGGCTTACATTATTTTTTTTTACATTTCAAAAATTCAACGGTGTTTAAACAAATTTTTAAAATCTGTTAATTTAATTTATTTTTGTGCTTTCGTCTAAAAATTTTGCTTAGACGTTTTTTTGCCGTTTAATTTTTTATCAAAATAAATTAAAAACTAGAATTGCTAACTTTTTTATTACAAATTACCACAGATGGATGACTTCGCGAATGGCACCTAAGTTAAACCTGTTTGAAATTTCTGTTTAAAAAAATCATTTTTGGTACGTTGATAAGAGATAATTTCCTTCGATATATAAGGTCGCGGAAAGTGGTATACAGGCTGTTCCACGAGTAATAATAAGCCTGAATTTTTTTTTAAGCAACCAACATTACATTTTATAGATAACGTGGATATTAAAAGATTTCGTTTTAATTAGTTAAACATAGTAATGGTATTTTTATTTTTGACAAATTTCCATCAGTCAAAGTGACTACTCCAGTTTTAGGAAGTCCGTCTATTTGGATATCACGCTGGACAGAAACGTGCAGTCTGCGAAGTGTTTTTCAAACATGCTTCATAAATGAGAATCCCATAGTTTTTTTAGGGACATATCTATCAAAAATTACATTTCTGAAAAAGTCGGGTTAGAATACTGCACATATAACATGAATTGCGCCTGTCACAATTGTTGACACAATTTAGTTACTTCTGCTAGCAACATTGACAGAACCCACGCACTAGAGGTGTCGGGCTAGGGGCTGCCAACTTTGCAATAAATTAAATGGCCACTATGAATTGACCGCGACTTTATATAATAATGGCTACGACCATGGCTTAGATGATTATAAAACTCGCGCTCTGCTGGTTTTGTAAACTTTATCTTTGTGAATAACAGCTATTGCTGTTTAATTATCTTGTTTAATTATTGTACTCGTATTTATAAGATAGTTGTGCATAATAGTATTTAACGTTGGTAAAAGGATTTTTGCTGACGATAGGAGGCGCGCTCGTCACCTTTTTAAGCCAGTAAAATCCGTTACCTTGTGTGGATTGTTTTATTTGTTCTTTATTTGTAAATATCGAGCGAGCAAGATAATTTGTAATCGAGTCATTCTTGGATCCGAAAACGTATGTCTGTAAAATGTCAAGTAAAATGACAAGTCGAAAGGTAAAATGGCATGATCAAAAAGGTGATACTTATAATAACTAAATTTATAATTTACCTTCAAAATGGAACCGTCCTACTCGTATTTATTATACGTCGGCGACTAATTCCAGCCCATTTTGCCATTTTACCTTACGACTTGTCATTTTATTTGACGTTTCACGTGAAGTTAGTTCAAAAACAGACATACGTTGTCGGACGCAAAGATGACTCGATTACAAACTATCTTGATCGCTCGATATATGTCGTGTCACAGCCATCGCCACTGCTCTCACTTTTCACGATGTTCTTTCTGTATGAAAGAGTGGAGCGTTTGGAAAAATGTTATGAGCTTTAGACATACAGGGTGCGCCAGAACTCGCGTCGCAGAGAAAAAGGCCATATAAGGTAAGATACCAGGAACATGGAAAAAATGTTAAAAAAAAATTATCTATAAAAATTTCTAAGTTATGAGGGTTTAAAATTTGCACTATGATTCTATTTATTTCTGTTGGAATTTTTTTTTTCTGTTCAATGTTATTTGTGGCTTTTATTGGCAAAATTTTTGTCCCTTTACTAAATAATTGTAAAAAAACATATACAAGATCATTAGTATCAGATATAAAAAAATGTCAAATGTCAAAAAATAAATGTCAAAATTTTTTGACAGATAGAATTTTTTAAATATTTTTTTCATGTTTCTGGTATCTTACCTTACTAGAAAATTTTCTCTGAGGCGCGAATTCTGGCGCACCCTATATAACTGGCTAACCAGTTCGAAACATTTTTAAGATGAATATAGTGCGACTTGGTAAATTGACGTTTAAAAGTGATAAATAAATAAAGTTAATTTATTAATTAAATAATTTAAAACACACATAGCTAGTAAAATAAAGCCGAGTTTAATTTTTCTATCTTATTACTCTCGACTATGCGAGGCTATTATTTTTATAAGCAACTAAACACTTAAATCATTTGCTAAAAAAATATACTTTTCTTTTTTAGTACATTATTACTATTTATACAGGGTGTCTCGTTTTTATAGTTACAATTTTAAATAGGTGATAGTATCAATTTTAAGGCAAAAGTTTCCTATGAACATGTATCAAAAAATGTTATGTAAGCTAGCTACATCTCATGAGAGAAATGCGTTTTTAATGGGGTTTTTCTACTATTACAGAATAGATAAAATTAGAAAAGTTGGTACACCTTTTTTTTATGAAAAATTATGGAATTTAGAATTTTGTGACTGAAAGTGGCAAGAATCAACAGCCAAAAAAGATACTTTTTATTCTAAACCCCCTCCCAGTTAAGGACGCCCTTGAGTAAAAATTTTGACATTTTATCTACAATGGTTTCTGAAATATTGAAAAAAATCCATAATATATTATATAGATAATATTTTTCGATACATGTTCATAAGAAACTTTTATCTTAAAATTGAATATTCTATCACCTATTTAAATTTGTAACAATAAAAGCGGAACACTCTGTATAATTCCAAAAATTTCAACTTTCAACCACTTGCAATATTTTTCAGTGGCGGGATTGGTGACGCTTCAGAACCTGCAGAACCTCGCCTCCCTGCAGCAAAGTCTTCCTCAAGTGGCATCGTTGGCAGCCGGCCTCCAAAACATGGCCGGTCTGACGTCGGGGAACCCCGTGGTAAACGCACCACTTAACCTCAGCGTTAGTGCTTCAGGTACTAATTCCAAATCCTTTGTTATTGTTATGCAAATCTAACGTTCTCTCTAACGTCTATCCAAGAATTTAATTATGTAATAACAATGGAAACGGGCCTCCTTTTAATTAGTGTTATTCATATACATCTCCATTGTGGTGGTTACTCCTCGAATTTATCGCTAATCGATTCATAATAATTTCACAGTGGCCACCTCTAGGACAAGTCAGTCAGGAAGCAACACAGAAGCTGCCCCTCTCAACCCTACGCAGTCGACAGGGTCAGCGTTGCCGCCTCCACCCAACCCCCTTTTGTCTTCGCAACAACCGGCACCTATGCCGCAGTTCATCTTGGCTTCAGGACAACTCGTCCAAGGCATCCAAGGGGCTCAACTACTCATACCCACGTCACAAGGTGACACCATTTTACAATCATTAATGCTCCATCTTCCAAACACAATAAACTCAATGTCAAAAAAAATCAGCCCAAAATTTTTTAATCCTACATCTAATTAGAAAGAGACTTTGGTAAATACGAAAACGCCTTATTTTTAATTACTAGTTATTTATTAGACGAGTTTAAGTGTAAATCGGACGCTTTATTTCAGGGAGTGGATTTTTAAATCACGAGTGTTAACACGAGGCGGAATAAATGAACCGAATTACACGAAAACGAGTTGAATATAACATTTTATTCTTCGAATTACACTCAACTAGGCTTAAAATTGCTTTAAATCTGTTAAAAATAATCTGACCTTTCGTATCGAGAAATGCCAAACAGTTATCAAAACCCGTAAATTTTGACAGTGTCGAAGAATAAACATTTTTATTTTGAATCATTCTGTAAAATAAGTCTTCTTAAGAATTAGTCACTTTTTTGTAATAGTCTGCTATTTATAAAGTCTAAAAAGAAAATAGTTTGTTTAACGTTTTGTATTTTATTCTAAAATAAAAAAAGTTGTCTTAAAAATACTCATTTTCTAAAACTAATTGTTTTAGTATTAAAACAATTTTCTGTGTGTTAACTGTTACGTTTTTATTAAATTATTATTTTACTTTCACCGATTTTTCGGATATTTTTCTAAATAAGTTCTTTATAAAAAAACAGCAAAAGATGCTAAGATGAAGTTTAGTATTTGTTGTAATGCTTTGGTTATTTAACATTTTATAAACTGAAAAAGTAAACATTTGCCACATGGTTTATTTCACAGTTTAAGTTTTTAAGTTGCACTTTTCAGTTTAATTAAAATTATTCTAAAAACATTGTTAATTTTTAGCAAAAGTGCTTCAGAGTTTATCTAAAAAGTTTAATTTTATCATTGTCTAAACAGCATTAATTTTATTATTGTCTAAACTAATATTATATCACAAGGTAGAGAAGAGATTTCTTATAGGCGAGCTGTTTATTTCCCGTAGCATCCAATAGGATGGAAATTTGACAAATAACATTTTAAAAATTGCAAATTTAGAAATTTTAAACAGCACAACTTTAAATTTTGTTTAAAATCTGGTGTTGATCTTGGATATCAAAACACGTACAGACTTTAAAGAACTATTATTTTTGAAGCAATTACTGGAAATTTTGTCAAAAGTGTTTTTTAAACAATATGATTTATAATAGTCTTCCAAGTAAGTTCTTGAGAAGGTCTGTAATTTAAAATTAATTCGATTAATCATCTCTGGACTAATCATTCCCAAATGATTTTTTTACTTTAGTAAAAATCAACAAAGTAGAAAAAATGATGCAAATTTTTAAGTACAACAAAATTCCGTGTATTATTATCATTATCAACATACTTTGAATTGACAACTGAAAATGTTATTAATAGAACCAATGTTTGAAACCTCTTTATTTATCGTTGGTGTCATCTGTTTTTTGAATGTAAGCATTTAACAAGGAAAATTAAAAATTGCGCCTTCTTGGTGAATCAATTTTGTATACTTCTTGTTGGATCTTCTTGGTGGGATTGATGAATTTGTGTTTGTGATAAACGTTGGCATATTAGCAAAAATGAAGTGAAAATGTTTTAACAGAGAATTTTTTTTTAAACTCTAATTATGTTATCAAAAGTAAATTTAAATATAGTGTGAAACGATTTTATAAATTTTAGAAAGGCTTAATTTGATAACTTGATAGCTTGAGTCTCACTTACACTCATTTACATAAATCCATATTGCTGCAAGAATAATTGTCCACTGATTTTCCTATACATACTTCTAGGAGGTGTGGATGTGTATCAAAAACAATTTTAGCATAAAATATTGTAAAAAAAACAATAAACTGTAATTCTTAATGCAAAACACACCAAAAACAACATAATCATCTGTTAACTTACAATGGCAAAGTTACTAAACAAATTTTAAGTAATCTAAAGAAATATTGCTTATTTAATTTTGATCTTTGGGTGCTCCTGTATGTCAAATTTAAGATCTTCTTTTAGCATAAATTGATGAAGATATTTGGGAATTTCTATGTTACGAAGTCGATAATTTATTGATACAAATAAATAATAAAAAAATTAGTGCACAAAAAAAGATCAGCTTCAATGTCTCAGGCCATGATTTCCATGGCAATAAAAGAACAAATCGAGCTAAAAAGTTTAAGGAGCTAGACAAGAAGAATAATGTTTACTTGTATTTAAAACCACAGAAACAACCGTTGTTTTATAAAATATCTTAATACCTTTTTCGAAAAGTCCTCAAATTTTCAAAAAACAATTTTTGTAAGCGAAAAATTTATTTAGGTAAAGCATTTTTATCAACTTTTCTTTTTCTTCAATATTTTCCCAGAAACAAAAGCTGATTTTCCAAAGATACAGCAAATTTGTTAAGTTTTTGAAAGTCAAGGAAGTACTGTTTGTGTCTTAGCTTTACAAAATGGATGTTTGCTCTATCTGACTTCAGAAATTCGGAAAAAAAGTAGAATTCTACACTAACAAATTTTTAATAATAATAATGTAATAACTACTGGAAACTAAGAATTAAATTGCCGTATTATCAGAAGCATAACATTTCACCAATTTTTATTTATTTAAATTTTTCTATTGTTCAACCAATTAAATATTTTTTTTAGGTTTGGCGACTCAGACAATCTTGACGATTCCGGTGAATCATGTAAATAGTTCCGATCAGATGGTTAATTTAGCTTTAAATAACGGCCAGGTGGTTACGACGTCTTTAGCCAACCTCCAGGCGATGGCGCAAACGAACCTCCTCAACAACACCACAAACGCCGGTGAGTTTAAACCCTCACAAGGAAGTGTTTTAGTTAAATTAGATTATTTGAGTCTAACAGTCTTAGTCCCTCATTATTGTTGGGAAACCTGTTTCAGATTGTAGAATTGCAAACTGAAAAATTTATTTTTTACTTCTTTTCAGTTCCAACAACCAATGGTTCTATAGGTCCTAGTCTTCTAAACCCCGCATCTTTGAGCCACCTCTTGACCAACGGAACACCTCAACAACTCCTCCAAACCATGCCCTCGATGTTAAATACTCCTCCCTTGAATCCTTTAGCGCAACCCCTTCTTTCAACAGCACCGACGTTGTTGACCACCCCGACGACACAGACGACACCCCCTCATCGGAATCCTCTAATTACCACCTACTCCGAGTCAAAACTACATCACCAACAGCCAATTTCGCGGAATCCGTCGCCGCCCAATGGTAGTCCCATGAATCGAATGGCGACTACCAATGGCGAAATTACCATCACGACGTCGGCCGGACCTGTTCCTAGTCAAAATTTGAAGAGGTCGCCATCGTCGCTGTCCCCGAATTGTACCGATAGCTCGACAGCAGATCTTCTAGTGGATTCCCCGAGTGAGTTTTTATTATTTTTACAAAGCAAAATGTTAACCACTTTGTCTTTAATTAGGAGTAAGTTGGCAACACTAACAAATGTAGAGATTTGAATATTGACAAATTTCATCTTCTGTCTTTATATTATCCAATGTTGACGACTTAATTTCAAAGTGATTAAAGTGGCATCTGACGCTGAAATTAGGTTGGCATCATTGAATTATACACAATGACTCTTAACATACAGGGTGGGTCCAAGTCGTAAATAAATACTGTAAACCACTATTTATTACATTTTGCGTAACACAATGCAATCAGAAAACACCTTAAATCTTAGAATTTTATAATGAAATTGGTCGCGTAGCCTGATTTTTAATTTTAAAAGAAAGGTGTGAATAAAAAAATGCTTGGATACAGTTTAATCGTTGGTTTGACAAATCTAATTTGTCAGTTGATGAGCGAGTTCTCTTATGGAAACTCTTGGATTTTCTTCGACTGATAACAGAACATTCAGATTTCTATTTTCTTGTTCTTTACTAAGAACCGTAGGTTTTTTAGTTTTAAGAAGCGAACCTATTCGTCTCAGTTGTTTTTCAATTCGACTAAATTTCCAACGATTTGGGTGAACTCTATTTGAGTATTTTTCCCTATACTGCCTTTCAGCTTCCGCTCTATTTTTACTGCACTTAAAAAACACTTCAAGCTGATCTACCAATTCGTCGTAATTAATATCATCCATTATTAAAGATCTCAATAAGATTTATTGACAAATTAGGCTTTGTCAAACTAACAATTAAACGGTATCCAAGCATATTGCTTTTTTCATGAATACCTTGACAAGTAAAATCCGCCTACGTTGCAAAATTTGCAATAAAATTCAAAAATTTAAATTGTTTTCTGAGTGTATTATGTAAAGTAAAATGTAATAAATAGTGGTTTACCGTATTTTTCATGCCAATTATTATTGTTTCGAGCAAAAAAACATAGGTGTTCCATTTGAAAAACTAAATTTGGTAGCATTTCCGGCTACACCGGATGTGCCAAAAAAATTTGATGCATTTACTAAGAAAATAAGGAATGAATAATATTATTTGAAAACTTAGTTTTTGAAAAAAAATGTAAGTTTAGGTGTTATATCGGCTGGGACGACTTGAACCGAACACCCTGTATACATAAACTAAGGGAATAAAAGGTTATGATCAATGATGTGTAAAAAATTAAAAAAAAACTTTTTTATTTTTGTCTAATGTCAATAAAAATACCACTTAGTCCCACCTAAATAAAGATAATATTCATTAATCTACTGACAGGCGTGGCGTCAATAAATGTAATGTCGGCATTGGTGTCATTAGTACAAATTATCTAAAATTTTAATGTCAAATAGTGTTTTTAATACGATATATCTCGGTAACTAAGAAGCTTTTATTAGATTTTTTTCCAACATTAATTATTATTTGACATAACCTATTATTCCTTAAGATTATGCGTAAGTTAATACTCATCCTGTATACAGACAGAAATTAGCGCGTGACTGTAAATGATTTTTGACTTTTGTTGTCAAATAGGCCACAAATCTAAAACTTTAGATTGGCAACACTGACTTTTAAATTTTATAGACAATTGTCATTCATTTCCGAGAGGTATAATTCAATTATTTTATTAGATGTTGCCAACTCAATTTCAAAATCACAGGCCACTTTGATCGAAAATTTACTCTAGGTGCACCTTGATTTAACGTTTATGCGAATAGGTGGCAAAGTTGAGTCATACACACACATTATATCGGATTAAATATTCCAAAAGTGTGTGATTCTGAATTTTCTCGGTAATTCGTATGCATTGAAATAGCCGTCGTGCTTTGCACAACACCATTCTCATTGAAGGAATTAGGTAATTACGCCTAGCAAATGCAATAAAAATTGGTAAGCACGTAATTTATTTAATCATCAATTAATTAAGTTACGTAAAAAGCATTAATAATAATTAAAGAGCAATTTCGTTTCGCGATATAACAATATTCTACAATTAATCATTTTATCTGCAGTTGTATTAATTAAGCCAATCGAGACACTAAAGCCGTTATTACCATAATAAAAGATCACAAACGTAAATAACTCGATTGCTCAATTTCATAAACAAGAAATTATTTGTATTATTGAAAGTATTTATTTATTTTGTACGAACTAAAAGAACGAACGGTGTGAACAAATAGACAATATTTGACATTTTGAATACAGTTATGTATTTAGTAATCTACAGAATGCCTGGCGCCCTCGCGTGGTTTGTAGTTGCAACTTACATGATCATACTATAGAACTCCGGTTTTAAGTTGCATTTAAAAGTAATTTTTTAAAAAGAAAGAACATTATTCTCTAACTTTTTATTTGAGTTTTGAAATATAAAATTATATCTGTAGTATTAAAAAACAACGTGCAAGAGCGATGTTTTAAATCTAAAACTGGATAAATTGTCCTTAGTTTTTATTTTCATAGATTTTATCTGTTAAGCGTTTGAGACTTGTAATAGTTTCTTGGAGACGATAAGACTTACAACAATAATCGAAAAATCATAGGAATTTGCGTTCAATGTGCTGTCGAATGGAAAGTCGCTCCCGGACTTGTTTCGGGAAAAAGAACGGCGAAGGTGTGTTTCAATAATGGTAATTTAAAGAAGCGAAGAAAAAAATTAGTGTAAAAGCTTGTTAATTTTTTGCAAAATCTAGGGACATGAAACAATTTATTGTTTTTTTTTTCGTAAAATTTATAATAAGCAGAAAAAAATTATATTTTTTAACAAAATGTGTCTGTTACCATCACATCAATGTATACTTTTCTTAATTTTTTGGAGAATTAAATTTAAGAAAGAAAGCACTATATGAACTTTAAAATACAAGTTGCAGAAGGTATTCAAGCACGAATTTGAAATTTCGAAACGAGCCGCGTAGCGGCGAGTTGAGGAATATCGAAAATATAAATCCGCTTATAACTTCAAAACTATTACGAATTTTGCAGTTTTATTTGACGCCAATCGATTCCCCGGAACATTTTACATATGTTTAAGTCAAAATATTATATCATTAAGGTACAGTTTTGCTGCAATTTACAAAATAAGAAAGAGTAAAAATTAAGAACTAGTGTTTTTGAACATGTCTCAGATTCAATTTAAACCTATCTTATCCTATAGATTTTGCCAAGCATTTTGCACTATGTCCTTTAGTTTCGCCGTAATCGGCGTTTAAAGTTTCAATTTTTTTTTTGAGATATATTGACTTCGCTTTGGTGTTAGTCGATAGATTTTTTACGCTGATTACGATGGTGTTGAGCTTTTTGCTCTAGGTCTAATAGTTTGGCCGTAATCGTCGTTCAAAAATTAAAAATTGTTAAAATAGTGAAACTTTAAATGCGTTTTTCTACGAAACTATAAGACTTAGAGCAAAAAGCTGAAAACCATTAAAATCTACTTTAAATTATCTATCTCACGGCGCAAACCGAAAGTCGCTCCGGTTTATGTCCTAGGTCAAAACCGTTTGTACAGGGGTATTCTCTGGTTAATTTTACTTATAAAACTGGTTTTTCATAAGAATCAAAACTTTTTATTTTTTTCTAAAATTTTTTGGTCGATTTTTGGTACCAGGAGCGGTCTATTGCGAATAACTCCGGACATATTGGTAATAACCTCTTATATTTAGTACCGTTAGAAAGCAAATTTAATTTTTTATCATATAAAAAAAGATCATTGTTCTACGATAAATAGTTATCGAGAAAATTTCTGATAAAGTCAACAATATCGAGAATTTAAATCCGACTATAACTTCAAAACTATTACAAATTTTGCAGTTTTTTTGACGCCAATCGATTACCTGGAACATTTGAGTCAAAATATTATATCATTGAGGTACAGTTTTGCAGCAATTTACAAAATAAGAAAGAGTAAAAATTTGTGAACACCTCCTCCCCCTTAAGAACTAGTGTTTTTGAACATGTCTCAGATTTAATTTAAACCTATTTTATCCGATAGATTTTGACGCGCTGATTACGAATTTGCCAAGCATTTTGCGCTATCTCCTTTAGTTTCGCCGTAATCGGCGTTTAAAGTTTCAATTTTTTTGCGACTTGGCTTTGATGTTAGTCGATAGATTTTTTTAAATACGTTTTTCTGCGAAACTATAAGACTTAGAGCAAAAAGCTGAAAACCATTAAAATCTACTTTAAATTATCTATCTAACGGCGCAAACCGAAAGTCGATCCGGGGTATGGTTCCGGGTAGAGAGCTATTTTAATCAAAAACTATGAGTCCTAGGTCAAAACTGTTTGTACAGGGGTATTCTCTGGTTAATTTTACTTTTTTATTTTTTTTGGGCGATTTTTGGCACCCGGAGCCGTCTATTGCACCCTGAATATCCTGAATAAATGAAGCACCCTGTATATCCTGGATAAGACGGTCAAGTTAGATCAAGTCATCAATCTTGACCCGGTGATAGATCTTGACCTGCCTTAGTATCCATCTGCAATATTACGATGTAGACTCTTTCGAGTTACGAAAAGTCCAAATTTAAGATGCCCTGACCTGACTTGCCTTAGTCAAAATTCGGGGAGGCTTTCTGAATTTCACCCAACCTTAACCAAATGAAACAATTGTCTGGATCAAGGGAAATGCAATTTTTTGTTAACTTTAGTTAAATAATGATTTTTTTTCAGACCAGCCAACCATCAACCAGACCAGCAGCAATGTGGTGGACGGCATAAACCTCGACGAAATCAAAGACTTTGCCAAAGCATTTAAACTTCGTCGCCTGTCTCTTGGCCTTACGCAAACCCAAGTGGGCCAAGCCCTGAGTGTCACTGAGGGTCCAGCATACAGTCAAAGTGCAATATGCAGGTAGGCCCCAAAAACCCCCATCAAATCAAAGCCAGGACATACACACTCAAATCCTTACGGAACAAACGCTGCCTCCGTTGATTATTCTATCACCAAAAAGCAGCTTCTGTTCCGTAATAACAAGTGTATGACGTGAGTAATTGGTTGGTTTGTTCCCAGTGCCCTGGCGTCTCAGATGTTTGCAGCCGCGCAACTTTCGTCTCAGCAGCAAGCGATGTACGTTGTTGTTTTTTTTCCTCAGGGTTGAGTACTCTTAAGGATAAGTTGTTCTTTTTTGTATTAGGATTTGCGCCAGGGCACTGGCATTTGTTTTTCGATTACTCGTACTTTTCAGTTTTTTTATTAATGGTATGTCAGTGTCCTGTGCCTAAATCAATTTGAAAACGTAACGCTTGTTTGATTTTGAAAGTGAGGTTGATTTGATTTTTTTTTTTTTCTTTCAGGTTTGAGAAACTAGATATTACGCCAAAGAGTGCACAGAAAATCAAACCTGTGCTGGAAAGGTGGATGAAGGAAGCTGAGGAAAGGTTGGTATTTTTAATCTTTCTAAATAAAATAATCTTAATTCAAAATCTAAAACTTTGTAGTATGTATATTATTATAGGAACAATACTAATTTATAAATACTAGAAAAATTTAAGTTATATCGTAGCTGTTTACAAAATTTTACATAAAAAAATCAATCACAAATAAATGAAATGAAAATATTTATTACTACTAGCTTGTACCCGTAACTTCGTCCACGTATTTTCAATATAAACTTTTCGTACTTTCAAACAAGAAAGGTGTTAATCTGTTTATCTATTTTTTTTTCTGATTCGCCAATTCATGACGAAAACACGTTACAAACGTTTATACCCCATTTTGCCCTCTTAAATGTTAATGTTTGAAAAGTGTCTTTTACATGCTCTACATTCTAAATTTTATGTTGCTATTGTTTCTAATTTCGTTTTGCGCTATTTCATCCCGTTAAAGGTTGTCTTTTGTTGTCGTTTGTTCAGTAATTTAGATACAGGGTGTGTCAAAATTCGCGCTCCAGAGAAAAATGCCATGTGAGGTAAAATACCAGGAATATGAAAAAATGTTAAAAAAGAAAAATTTCGATATTATGAGAATTTAAATTTTGCACTTTGACTTTTTTTCTGTTGGAAAAATAAATAATTTTTGCTACAGGCCATTAGAGAGGAAACAAAGAAGCTGTATCCTAAATTGTAACCCATGTTATTTGTGGCTTTTATTGACAAAATTTCACAATTATAAAAAAAACATATATAAGATCATAAGTATCATTAAATAGACATAAAAAAAGTCAAATCTCAAAAAATAAATGTCAAAATTTTTAACAGATAATTTTTTTTTTATGTTCCTGATATCTTATCTTACTTGAAATTTTGAAGTGACGTTTGTCGAATTAATTTTTATTCGAAAGTGAACAGGGTCAACGACGAGACGGTTGCTATTTATTTTTCATAAGACCCGTGTGTTTTATTGATATCATAAGACGATTCCTAGTAGTAGTATTATGGCCTAATAATAGACTGGTTGTGGATAAAAGCTGATTGTTTTCTTGATTCCTTCTGTTTATTTACCTCTAAATTTTTATTTTTCTTACTCTTTTTCTTCCAGCCCGATTCTAAATATCGTTTTCACTCTTTCACTTTATATATTTTTTCTGTTATTCTTTTCGCTCCCTTTCATTCCTGTTTTTTTTTACACATGGCCACAGATAATCAGATATTTTTATGTAGTTTTTTTTTTCTTCCTGCTTTGTTTCTGTTCCATTTTTTGCATTTATTTCTATATTTTTCCTTTTACTTAAATTACTTGCTCTAATTGTATAAGGTATTCTAACAGAATTTTTCCTTTTAAAAATTGTGTACAAAGCTCCATTCAAAAAAAAAAGCGGAAATTATTTTTTTTCCAACTGTAAATTTGGTTATAGTTGTCAATTATCAACTTGACAATATATATGTCATTTATATACCAACTTGTGCAATGTCGCATTTAAGTGAACTACAGAAAGCCAGAATTGTCGCTTACTCGGAAAATGATAGGAAAATTATGAATTTTGGTTTAATTTTAAAACTGTCCTATCTGAACCGATTTTTTAAAGCTTTAGGATGAATGTGATGTTCTATTGTTAACTTCATCCTCATAAAAAAAATATAATTTAGCGGGTGGTTTTTGGTTTAATTTTAAGATTATCGTAACGAAACCGATTTTTTTTTTAAGTTTGAGCATGAATGTCAGGTTTTATTGTTAATTTCACCCCTATCAAAAGATTTGAATCTAGAAATTTGTTTTTTTGTCCAAAATACAGACTGATTCAGAAAGACTGTTTTGTGAATAGGTTCTGCGTCTTTAGTAGATCCAAAATCTATTATTCTAAATTATTTCTACTATTGCTTTTAATTTCTTCCAAAAAATTTTCTTTTACACAATAATATGTACTTATTGAAAAATATACCCTCTTTGTAATTTGAGTATAATAAGAGATGAGAAGTTGGAACACTTTCTTTGCACAATTGTTTCTATCAAGCGCCATTTAAATTACACCCCATCAGAAATATGAGATCTTAGGTATCTAACATGTGATCATTTGAATTTATAGTTAGAGTAGACTTTAATATTTTTTTAATTTGGATAAAAATGCTAATTATCATAATTTATCAAGCTGAAGAGTCAAATAATAAAATTTCGAACGGTAATATTTAATTAGAACACATTTTTTTACACTAGTTTATCATTTTACCACAAAAGACGGTCTACTCTAATAATAAATTCAATTCTATTTTTGTTTTTTTTTGTGTTTGTAAAAAATACGTAATGTAAGATTTAATCTTTTGGGTATTATGTAACCAACTGATTTCCTGGTGAAAAGAAACCCCAGTTGTAAAGTACCCAAGAAAATTTTTACCCAACCCAATTTTTTGAGTCCGTACAGTATGAAAAATTAATAATATTTGAATACCAAAAATAAAAACTAAATTATTTCCTGTTTTGCAAACGGACGTGGCCAGTATGAGCTACTTAGCCTTGAAAAACTGATTTATTATAACGTAATACTGAAATAAGGAATGTATCTAGCGATCAAGATAATTTGTAATCGAGTCATCTTTGGATCCGAAAACGTATGTCTGTAAAATGTCAAGTAAAATGACAAGTCGAAAGGTAAAATGGCATGATCAATAAGGTAATACTTATAATAACTAAATTTATAATTTACCTTCAAAAAAGGGCGGTCCTACTCGTATCATTATACGTCGGCGACTAATTTCAGCCCATTTTGCTTTCACCTTTCGACTTGTCATTTTATTTGACGTTTCACGTACAGTTAGTTCAAACACAGACATACGTTCTCGGATGCAAAGATGACTCGATTACAAATTATCTTGATCACTCGATAATTTTAATAACTATTTACTCACAATGAAATATTGAATGAACGAACATTTTTTATTGTTCCACACTTCATTTTAAAAACCTTTCATGAGCAAATTCATAGATTTTCCGAAACTTGTCCTGAGCGGTTTTTGCAATTTCTGTTAATTGGGGACGCATTTTCTTGAGACACTTTTCTCTTCGCTTTGCTTTTTGCACTATTTCGAATTTTCACTGTTTGCACACCTTAAGCTACCATGACTATCCGGCTATTAATTATTGTCAAACAATATTTAGCAAAATTCAATATTGCCAATGTCACCATACTAAAAGTCGCTGTCATTATTGTACTAGTACAATAATGCATTTGTATTGTACCGAAATAAAACTCCTTCATTTCTCGTCATCACTGCCGTACAATAACAACAATATTGTTATACGTTTGAGGAAAAAACGTTTTTTGTATATTCTCGGTTAATTTTTTCACAATAGAATAAAAATGAAAATCAAGTGGTCGACAAACACTTGATACGCAAAAATTCAAAATACGTTTTATTACATGTAAAATTGCATGTGGAACACGATAACTCTCAGAGTATCATTTGCTCCTGCATTATTCAATGTAACCAGCGTAATAGACTACTTTGATAAGAAGTTTCATTTATTTAATTGTATGTAAATTTCCAGTTCAAGTGTCCAGTTATTGATGTGCAAAAGTTTGCTCAATTCCAGATACAAAAGTGGCCAAAACCATTTAACTGACTTCATTGGCATCGAGCCGTCGAAAAAACGGAAACGAAGAACGTCGTTTACTCCCCAAGCTTTGGAACTTTTGAACGCCCATTTTGAACGAAATACCCACCCGTCAGGTAAAAAGAATTTTAATTATACTGCAAAAATGATTTAATTCTGGTTTTATAGGTACGGAAATAACCGGACTTGCACACCAGTTAGGATACGAGCGTGAAGTGATAAGGATCTGGTTTTGCAACAAACGACAGGCATTGAAAAACACCGTTCGAATGATGTCAAAAGGAATGGTGTAAAACGTCTGTGATTTGACTATAAACAGTTTGTTAGTGTAAATAATCGCAAACAATCAATTTTTGTATATAATCGTGTATAAAATATTTCCAAGATTGTTGTAATTGTGTGATGGTATGTACATTACGACGAGAATGCCGCATTTTTTTTTTTTATTGAGTTGACCGAAATCGCACTGAAACTCAGACGAGCACTTAAGTTATTATTTTAATGTAATAAACTGATTCAAGATGACTGCTTTTATTTTTCATCCCTTGCAGTGACGAAGTATACGATATTATTACAAAAGAATTGACAAGACATATCCAATTTCAGTAAATGACCAAAATTTCGATAATGGATTGAAACGATTTGATCTCAAAAATCATTAAAGTAATTTAGTAGGGGGCGACCCCGAATGAAACCAAAGTTCCTACTAGTACATAAGTGATATATGTTGTAAATAATAGGATTATGAAAGTTTAATTTTAGTAAATAACTTTACTAAATTCTATGTCAGAGTAGAAATTTATTGTGAATTAATTCTAGTGATTCTGGTTAAATAAGTTATGTGAATGAAATTGTACTTGTTCGTATTGTAGATGTACGCAGAATAAAAGAATCATTGTGGTAATTATGTCCATTTTTTTTAAATCCGTTTGTATTTCAATAGTTGTATTACAATTCAAAAAATATTAAAGCCTGACGAGAGGTCTAGGGCTGTTAAATAGCTAATTTATTGACCACCAAAATAAGCAGTGACAATGTGAGTTTGGAATGTCAAAAATTGACATTTTCGACAAAAATTGACATTTTCGACAAGTAAATGTTTTGTTTTAAATAGTGACAGTTTAACAATGAACTAATAATTACTTTCTTTGTTAAACAATGACTACCGCTTATACCGTGAGATCAAAAATTATCTTGGTCAAGGGTGGTCATGGAATGGAAAACGTCTGTCGTTGCTTATATCATCCTTTTGAAAAATAATTCTGTCAATGTTTGACTCACTGACAGCGACGACATAACCTACGGCGATTATTTTAAAATCCATGACCACCCTTGACCAAGAAAATTTTTGATCTCACGGTAGGCATAAACAAATTAAAAAGTAAATAAATCAATCAATTATATAAAAAAGTACGTTTTGTAGATATATGTCAAATATTTGTTGTTAAATCTTCTTGGTCCTGGACCTTCTTTCTATGTCGTACACGCTTACTAATGGAAATACTGGGACTGGGTGCCTCTTCTTCTCTTGGACCATAATAGGGAGAATTGTAGCCTTTTTGATCATTGCTAAGGTTGTGAAAGGTGACGTAGAGTCTACGTCGTAGACTATTAACCTCATGGTTGGCGTATTGTTATGTCAATCTTGCTCTATTTCATTAATGTCTCGTAGATCGTTTATGACGTCGTCAATCACTACCAAAGAGTAGAAGCGCAAGTGCATGGTCTGGTACTTTTGATAATTTACTGTATTTATAAAGAACCGTGATTCTGGTAGCTTTACTTTAAATCGTTGAAAAAAAGCGGGGCCGCTATAAGTTCGAATGGCAAACGGAGGAATCTGTAAATACATTAAATTGTTTTTAGCTGAAGAAGACATTTTTTTTCTAATTTTTCTTTGTTAATTTGAACTAGTAGGTACGTTTTTTATGTGAATGTTTCTGAAGCCAAGTCTGCATATCTAGTTAGCCAGCGATGGTTCCAATATGAGGCAACCGGTTTGCATTTAAATACTGGTGGTGTGTGTGCAGCGTGTGATATTGATATGACACATTTCATTAGAAAGACGGTGATTAGTGATTAACACTAAACAACTACAGCGTAAAGGTTTTTATTCACAATCACAAAGTACTATTCAAATTACCCTGCATGTGAATTGTGAAAAGTAGGAAATAATGACACCCCCCAAAAAAATCGAGTGACTCCGGTGGCTATGCAACTGGATTTTGGCGACCAATTCATCCTTTGCGCGTGAAACGTCAAATAAAATGAGAAGTCGAAAGGTAAAACGGCGAAATGGATTGGAATTAGTCGCCGACTTGTAATAATAAGACCGTTCTTTTTTTAAGGTAAATCATAAATTTAGTTATTATAATCATCACCTTTTTGATCATGCCATTTTACCTTTCGACTTGTCATTTTACTTGACATTTTAAAGACATACGTTTTCGGATCCAAGGACCACTCGAGTACAAATTATCTTGATCTCTCGATATAAATATTAAGGTACAAAAAAATACGAATTACATAAGGCACCCATTCAAGCCACATCCGGTGGTACCCACAACTTTAATAACTTAACGGGAACCTAAAGTGTTATTTTTTCGGGGTATCACTGTGCATACACAAGTTGCAAGAAAAAACCATTTCCCTCAGGCAGGGGCGGATCCAGGAATTAATTTTGGGGGGGGGAGGCTATCTAAAAATTAAAAATTAATTTAAAAAAATCCACAATAGTAACTCATTAATTGTAACTTTTGTTGCAATTCCTGTTATTTTATATGAACATTTTACCATTTTCCTCATTTTCCAAAAACAAAAAGTCATTTTGTATTTAGATAGTTTAAGAGGTCAAGTTCCAATTTCTTTATTACAAAAAAATTTTAAGTTATATCATGGCTACAATGTTATGAGAAACACGAATTTCAATGTGCAAGATTGTAAAGTGTTTGCACCAAAGGATAAACCTCGTCAAACGAACAGCTACGATTGTGGCATTTACTGTTATACCTTTTTTGAAACTCTTGTACGAAAAGACTGCAAATTTTTGGATTTTATTTTATTTTAAATGATACTTACTCGTACCGAAAAAATATTAAGCACTCGATAAAAAAACATATGGAATGTTTAGATGTGCATCCACCTAAGCGAAAAGCTTATAATAAAAAACAGTTAGCAATGATCACTGAATCAGATATTTCGATTAAAGACATTGTATTTGACACCCCGCAGAATTATCAAAGCCTAGGAGCTTTTTTCGAAACTGCTATAGATTTATGTATGTAAACTTATTTTACTTTTTGTATTTATTTTAATTACAAATTTTAATAACAAAAATTTTATTTTTTTAAATTTGTTTATTTATTTGTATTAGTAAACGGCGAACCAAAAAAACTTATGTATGTTAGTTACTTCTAATAGCGAAACGCAGCGTGATCCAAAATTCACTCCCTACAGAAAATAAATGGATGTCGTCGATAAGAAGCATATAAGAAACATAAAAAAAATGTATTTTCATAGTATAGTATAGTAAGAAATATTAGATTGGTTAACTGTTGATTAAAAAAAAACAACTTAGTTATTTAAGATTCTTGAAAGTTCCTTTTTGTTTATTTGAAGACTCCTTTTTGGTTGTCAATTTTTTAAGGCGCAAATTCTGGAATACTAAAAATCGTTGTAAAACTAAAATTTTGCAAAAGTAAACTACCCTTCTAAGAAGGGTAAAAGGTTGAGTGGTAGTAGCAGCAAGTGCGGCTGATAGTTCTTAAGAGATGTGTAAAATATTGTTGATTAAAAAAAATATTCAGCGCTTAAAATCGTTGAAAAACTAAAATTTTGTAAGAGTAAACTACCCTTTTCGAAAGGGTGAGGGGTTGAACTTTAGTGGCAGCAAATACGGCTACCAAAGTTTAATAAGATTACGTAGAATGTCTAAGTTTTATTAAAAATTACAACCTGTTCAATTATTTGGTCAGCAAAATAGGCAGACCCAAAAAATAAGCTTAGGACGGTCCACGCGGCCTTGCAATAAATCAGTTTTTCAAAGCCAAGTAGCTCATACTGGCCGCGTCCGGTCGTAAGGGCTTTTGATCATAATGAGTTGTATCATATATATTTTTTTCGTAAAACTAGATCGAATAGGTAACCCTCAGTTTTCCGACGAAAAACCCAAAAATTGTCGAAAAATCCCCTTAAAGCTCTCAACTTTGCTTCGAGCTTCAACATTAAAACTTTACGCTCTAAAATTCTACCGACTGTACGTATAAAGGTGTAAATGACTATTTTCCAAAAGAATTTGACAAAATACAAAAATTAAATAGGTAACGTTCTTGTAATAGCAATTACACTACGAGACCATAATGAAGGATAAAGCAACAGAAAAACTCAAACAGGCTAACACTGCTCTAACGTCGTCACAATTTTTAAATTTCCTTGAAAAAAACTTTGAAAAACATGTACTTAAGGCTCCAGACCCCCTGAAAGCTGGCGTATACCTATTACATGTAAATTTATTTCATTGTTCTTAGCCGCAAATTTAGACTTGAAGAGTATCTTGATGTTTGTAGTGTTTCTTTAAAGGTAAATGGAGACCAGGGAAATATTCCCGCTTTAAATAAGTTAATAGATATTTTTTTATTGAATAAAATGTGAAAATTTTAATTATTAAGATTTTTTGATAACGGTATACCGTATTGAATTAAAAAAAAAACAGTTTATAGGTAATTTAAAAATACAGTGCCCTGATATAATGCGAATTTGACTAATCCAACTGGTGTTGCACCTAAAAATGTTTTTTCTTCATCAACAAAAAAGCCGCATGAGTCCACCTTGAAACCTGTGATTTGCTCAAACTTTTCCTTTGCTTTTTCTTCATTATCAATACCCCATTGTAGAGGTTCAGGCAATTTTTTAAATTTAGACACACCTACACTATATAAGATATTTTTTACATTATTTGCTGTATTGGTTTTACATTTCATATTTATAATTCTTCCAAAATTATTAGCTGTTAATCTGTTATTTCTTTCTTTATCCCACTGCTCATTATTACGTTGACCAATTGTTTCAATAGGGATTTTTAAAATATTGCAAGCAGCCAAATCATTCAAAAACTCACTTTTTATTTTTTCATATGTTTCCATTGGCATATCTATTATGTCATCCATCAGTCGCACCATAATCGGAATCTGCACTATGAATACGAATTTTTCTTTTATTTAATTTCGCAGCTTGGGTTTCTGTGGAATTATTATCGACATCGTACAAAAGACTTGAAGATAAATTTGCAACTCTTTTTAATGCCCGCATGAACAATTCAAACAAAGAACTATTTAATAAATCAGAATATGCAACTGCATTTGTTATTTGACAAACTGTTTTACAGAAATACGAAGCGCAATTTGAATGATCACCAAAAATATGTGCGGGTCCATTTAAAATATCGTTTTTCAAGTTTTCTGTTTTTTGATGAATTGTACAGCTTTCGTTTTTCTGTATTTTATAGCTGAAATAATTGCTGTTCTAAAGTTCAAGTAATTGTTGCGCAAGAATGTTTTTATATTTATGTCGGATCGGAGAGTTTTAGCGATTTCTTTAATTTTGGTACAAAAAATTCGTAGTATGTGATATCGGCATTCAATTTTTTGAATGAAATAATTAGGTCCATAGGGTCTCGCATTACGAATTTTTTTGTAGACATGCATTTTGCATTTCCAGTTGTGGAATGTTCAAAGCTGCGCAAAATTCTGTTAGTTGAGAATAACCAGCACATATTACTACTGTGCCACAAACAACTGCTTCATTTACTTCATTTGTGTGATTTTCTTTTTTGGACTAAAAGTTCCTATTGGCCTTCACATACTACATTTGTATTTAAAAACACTTTTAAACCACAAATGTGTTTCTAGAATGTTCAAAAAACTACAAGAAAAAATGTTATGTTTTATGTTTTTTAATTCCAAAAATAAATGCCCTATGTCAACAATCCTTCGACCACTTGRAACAAAATTTTGTTCTTDACTAGTTTCTTTSTCAATAATAAACACTTCATCGTCATCGGAACTCGATTCAATTGACTRAAAACTACATTCTGCAAGACTTGATTTACTTGGAAGATCAGTTTTAGAACCTTTTCGTTGTTTTTTCCAATAATTACGCATCATTTTCGAATTTTTCTTTTTTTTTTGAAAGAAATTGTTTAGAATTATTACCCATAATTTCAATACAACGTTTTCAACAAAAAGTGATAAAAAAATTTCAAAGCACTGCGGTGGAAGAGAGCCACTAGCAAATTGCAAAGAGTCAAAAAGTAAACAAGTTAAAAATTTTAATTTAAAATGTTAAAAATGACTTTGTTTTTTATCTTAAAGCTATTTCTTTGAGTTGCTATTTATCAAAATTATGTTTTTCCCACACTTTTTTTTATTTAACTTGCGAAAACTCATTTGTCAAAGTGACATTATTGTCAAAAAATAATTATTCCAAAGTCCAAAATCAAGAGAAAAATGAACTTTTCTTTCTACTCAGCTAGAATCTGAATCTCTGAAATAAGAGAAACTCAGCGATGGTGAAATCCTGTTTGTTTACTTTATTTACATTTTATGACTAAAGGGACCAGGCACCAGGTAGAGAAGGTCGTATGATTGACAGCTGCCACAGAATAAAAGTCTAAATAGAGTATGCAACTTATAGTACACCAAATCTGAACAGTTCATTCGGTACCCTAGAGCCTTAACCACTTTTTTTAAGACAATACAAATTGAATCAAAGAATGAATTAAACTACAATATGTTCAATTATTTTCATTTTATTGAGTAACACACTACATTGTTTAAACTAATTTGTAACTAAAAGATTCTGGATTTCTGAAGATAATTCCTGGGGGTCAACAGTCGTCGACTGTGCGTCGTTACACTTCAGAGGTTCTTGAGCCAGTTGAGGACAAGCTTTCTTATGCCAATGCCAGTGCAACTTTTGGCATGTCTTATCACAATACTGTGCTACCTTACATTGCGAACACTTCTTACCAGGTTTCTCCTCCCCACAAGTATAACAAATCGGGACGTTATCAACAAAACCCCTCTGGCCATTTATGGCCGAATTGATAACACTAAGAGCTGTTGGTGTGTCTTTTCCAGTCAAAGTTGAGACCATTTGACGAAATAAAGTGCACTCTCTGTAGGGAAAATGCTTAATGCACTCTCTTAATAAAGCATCAAGGATGTCAAGAGCGCCATCAGTGCCTGGTTTTAGTACTTTTTTGCAAAAAGTCTGCAAAGTAGCATCTGGCGATTCTTGTTTGTTTTGAATCGTCATAATCTCGCCTACTATATACGCAAGGTAATACAATTTAAATGCCATGACTTCATTATTTCCGGCCCCTCGTTTCATTTCCTTATCATACATCAATTCTAACACTTTTTTGACTTTCTGCAAGTGTTGAGATAAGCCTATAAAACTATTGATATTTAAAGCGATTTTGACAGGATGTACGTTAACTTGTATTATTAGTTTATGGAAACTTTCGGAGAGGAAGGGGGGTAAGTAGGGTTCAGTCTGGACCCCCTGTACAACAGTGTAATAGTCCACTTCCGACTTGGGGATGTAATTGTTGATTATTGCGACGCACTTGTGGTGGCCCACAAAAGCTGCCATTTGGGACGCCGTCCGATTGACTGCATTGGTGACTTCGGGATGAGCCCCGGCCACGAGTAACGCCAAACACACTTCGAAATTTCCCGAAAGACCAGCGAAATGCAAAGCTGTGTAATTGTGTTGATGTTTGCAGAGGTTAGGGTCAGCCCCCTGAAAAACTTGATTTAGAATAGTGTGAAGAATTGGGTAAGGGGTACTTTACGTAGTCGAGAAGCATTTGAACCATGTCCTTGTTGCCTTTATAAGCCGCATGTTGCAACGGTGTCATTGCATTTTCGTCGAGTATGTTTACATCTGGCCGGTCGGCTAACACGGTTCGGAGTAAAACGGCGTCTCCGGATTCGATTGCAGTGAAGATTTTCTTCTCAGTGTCGGGGCTTGACATCTTGAATTAATATTTTCTTGGTTTTTCTTAAGTTATAAACATGGAACGAAAATTTTGACAGTACTGGCAGATGTCAAATAATAATTGAATATTGAATGTCACCAGATAAAGAACTAGTGTATGGTTGGTTGCATATACAGGTTGCATTAACAGATTCTATAAGTAAATTTGTAAATTACTGTAAAAAGGCGGCAAAAGTAAGGGTTTCTTTATTTTTTGCACCTCTCAAACTAAACTTGGAACACAAATTTTGTCAGAAAAACTAAATGTTATGAAATGCCACTGTTTAAACCAAAAACGAATGTATGTTTAGTATGGTGAGCCAAAAAAAAACTTTTTTTTTCTTCAGTTACCATGTATCATCCAAGATGACGAAAAAAAAATTCTGGTAAAGTTTGACCTCATAATATTAATTAATATTAAAAGGTGGCTCATCGTGATTTTTGGTTTCCCATTTAAATAACACGGAATTTTTTTTCATTTGCCCTCGAACAAATTATCGTCCAGTGAAATTCAAAACATACAGAATGTTCAGTCCAAGTCGCCCCGGCCGATAACTCCTAAACTTACTTTTATTTCTCAAAAACTAAATTTTCAAATAATACTATTCGTTCCTTATTTTCTTAGTAAATGCATCAAATTTTTTTGGCACATTCGGTGTAGCCGAAAATCCTACCAAATTTAGTTTTTCAAATGGAACACCTATGTTTTTTTGCTCGAAACAACAATAATTGGCATGAAAAATACGGTAAACCACTATTTATTACATTTTACTTCACATAATGCATTCAGAAAACAACTTAAATTTTTGAATTTTATTGCAAATTTTGCAACGTAGACGGATTTTACTTGTCAAGGTATTCATGCAAAAAGCAATATGCTTAGATACCGTTTAATTGTTAGTTTGACAAAGTCTAATTTGTCAATTAATAAATCTTATTGAGATCTTTAATAATAGATGATATTAATTACGACGAATTGGTAAATCAGTTTGAAGTGTTTTTTAAGTGCAATAAAAATAGAGCGGAAGCTGAAAGACAGTATAGAGAAAAATACCCAAATAGAGTTCACCCAAATCGTTGGAAATTTAGTCGAATTGAAAAACAACTGAGACGAATAGGATCGCTTCTTAACACTAAAAAAACTGTGGTTCTTTGTGAAGAACAAGAAAATAGAAATCTGAATGTTTTGTTATCAGTCGAAGAAAATCCAATCCTTTCCAAAATCCTTTCCATAAGAGAACTCGCTCATCAACTGACAAATTAGATTTATCAAACCAACAATTAAACTGTATACAAGCATTTTTTTTATTCACACCTTTGTTTTAAAATTAAAAATCAGGCTACGCGACCAATTTCCTTATAAAATTCTAAGATTTAAGATGTTTTGTGATTGCATTGTGTTACGCAAAATGTAATAAATAGTGGTTTACAGTATTTTTCATGTCAATTATTATTGTTTGGAGGAAAAAAAACATAGGTGTTCCATTTGAAAAACTAAATTTGATAGCATTTCCGGCAACACCGGATGTGCTAAAAAAATTTAATACATTTTGTAAAAAAAGCCAAGAATGAATATTATTACTTAAATATTTACTTTTTGAAAAATAGAAGTAAGTTTAGGTGTGATCAGCCGGGGCGACTTGGACCGAACACCTGTATACTTGTAGGGAATTAAACGGTCTACAAAAAAGGACAGATAATTTTTTGCTTAGTCGACTCGTTTAAAAGTTATTCGAGGTTAACTTCAAATGGTAAATGATGACTTTTACAATTTTTTATACCCTATCCTTAAAAACATGAAATATCATATTTCATTTCATTAGTCAAATAAAACCCGTAGTGTATGAGCAAATTGCACAGAGGCCAAAAAGTGTTAGTGACTAAGCGTGACGAATGGGGTACTATACTGGGTGCGCCAGAACTCGCGCCCCAGAGAAAAATGCCATATAAGGTGAGATACCAGGAACATGGAAAAAATGTTTAAAAATTTTATCTATAAAAATTTCAAAGTTACGAGGGTTTAAAGTTTGCACTTTGACTCTATTTCTGTTGGAAAAATAATTTTCCAAGTTTTGGTGCTATAGGTTATTAAAAGAGGAAACAAGGAAGCTGTATCCTAAATTGTAACTCTGTTCAATATTATTTGTGGCTTTTATTGTCAAAATTTTTGTATCTTTAATAAATAATTATAAAAAAACATATACAAGATCATCAGTATCATTAAATAGATATAAAAATGTCAAATGCCAAAAAATAAATGTCAAATTTTTTTGACAGATAGAATTTTTTAAACGTTTTTTTCGTGTTTCTGGTATCTTACCTTACTTGAAAATTTTCTCTGGGGCGCGAGTTCTGGCGCACCTTGTATTTTTTTTATTGTCTAAGTTAAATCTACATAAAAAAATAATATACCCGTGTTTTTTGTTTTTTTTTGCGAAAACGTACATTCAAGGCGAAAAAAAAATGTTGAAGTTGGTGCAAAATAAACACACTTTCAAACACACCATGTTTGCGCCAAGTGATGACGTGGGCAGACCCTGACGATCGCGCAAAATCAGCCAAAGCCGACAGCTCTAACCCAAGCTCCAGATAGCGCTGCGTTTGCTGATTGGACGGGGAGGCCCGACGTCATCAAACGCGCATTGTAATACCGTTTAAATGTAGTGGATCAAAAACCACTTGTTTAAATCTCATTTATTTAAAAAATTACAGCTTAATTGAAAATCGATTTTTAGTTATATTGCTATTTAACAACGAGGAATAATATAAACCTAAATTTTGCCTTCTTTTTTTTATAGTATAGTACCCCATTATCTGTTGTTACTTAAGAAATAAAACCGTATGAATGTAGGAAAAGGCATTTTCTATTTGGGAGTGAGAATAAACACATCGTCCGATAATAGTATATTAAAGAACAAGTTTTATAAGGGTTGATTGATTTGGCGCACGAATCCCAAGTTAGAAAACGAGCCGTAGGCGAGTTTTCTATGGAATGAGTGCGCCAATGCCACTATAAAACGAGTATGTTATGCTATTTTTTATAATTTGCGCCCCCTTTTTTTTCTTATTTTAATTACAAAAAAATATATTTTTGTCGTCTAGAGAATTTTGTGTTAGTTGGTATCTGTTGAGTCGAACTTCACTCCCGGTGAAGTGATCATCATTGGATTGGGTTAATAAGACACTATATTCCACTTAACTCTATATTTACAACAATCTTTACATACACATCTTGTTCTGTCGGGAGAGGAGCAAGTAATGCCTTTTGGTTTACTTTTCCAGCCCCTTGCAGGGCCTATTTGAACTTATCGTGGGGTGGGGGGTGTAGCAGGTAGTTCTTATGATTTCAACATACTCCCCCCCGTTGACAATGTTACATTTCAACAGTTGCCACGACATGTAACTAATATGAGTTTACATATCTAAGTTACTAATTAATGATTTTAAAACAACTTAATTCTTAAGCACTCCGCGGTAAACCACTTAGTTTCGTAATAGGTCTTTTAAACACTCCGCTCATTGTTTTCACAGTTACGACCCTGGTTAGGCCGTCCTTGCCTGGGTGGAGTTCTTTGATGCGGCCTAGGTTCCACTGAAGCGGTTGCGTGTTGTCCTCCTTGATCAGAACCAGCTGATCGACCTGGGGTTGTGTGCCTGGAGCCGAGTTCCATTTGGTCCTCTGTTGCAATTAGTGGAGGTATTCTTTGGACCACCTTGTCCAAAATGTTTGTCTCAATCGCTCCAGAAATTGGTATCTTGATAATCGGTTTGTCTGGATTTCCTCTAGGTTTGGCTCGGGTAGGGCAGTTATCGGGGCGCCAATCAAGAAATGACCTGGCGTTAGTGCCTGCAGGTCATTTGGGTTGTTGGAAAGGGGAGTGATGGGACGGGAGTTTAAGAATGCCTCTATGTTTACTAAAATGGTGTACATTTCCTCGAAATTTAGTAATGCGGTACCTAGCAATCGCTTTAAATGACCTTTGACTGATTTGACAGCCGCCTCCCAAAGTCCTCCCATGTGGGGGGCCTTTGGTGGAATGAAATGCCAGTTTGTGTTTTGTTGGGACATGTCATGAATGATTTTATTTTGAAATTGCTGATCATTAAATAATTTCAGAAATTCATTTATCTCGCGATTTACTCCGACAAAGTTGGTACCATTGTCGGAAAAGATATGAGCGGGTTTGCCGCGTCTTGAAATGAATCTCTTTAATGCATTCAAGAATGCGCTAGATGTGCATTCACAGACGAGTTCTATGTGAACAGCGCGGGTAGCGAAGCAAACAAATATTGCAATGTATGCTTTAATTGTTCGTTTAGTGCGTTTAATGATGGGGTTAATGCGATTTGCAGGTAGATCTGCCATTTTTTGATTCATAAGCACGGGTTTAACGCGATAACACTGAAAGCAATTGTGAATTATGGTTCTCACCGCACTTCTTCCCGCAATTGGCCAGTATTTGTTTCTTACAGCATGTAATGTAGTTAGACAGCCACCGTGCAAGTTATTTTCGTGAATTTGTTTAATAATTAATTTGGTTATGTGGTGATTTTTTGGAATCAATAACTGGTGTTTTTGATCATAACATAGTGTAAAGTTTTTAAGACGACTTCCCACCCTTAGAAGGCCAGTTTCATCAATAAACGGGTTTAATGTTTTGATTTTGCTGTTATTGCTTAATTCATTATGATTTTGCAAGTTATGCATGTCTTTACCAAATGCTTCCTTTTGAACTAATTTAATTATGATATTATGGGCCTTTTCTAATTCTGAGCAGGTAAGATGGCCCTTTGTTCTATCATTCTTATTCTTAATGTTATTATAAAACCGTCGTACTAATGCTATTACTCGAATTAGTTTTTGGAAAGAGGAGAATTTTGTTAGTATGTCAAATTGTTGATTCAAATTATTAATTAGCAGACAGCAAGTGGACTTCATTTCGGGAATTTCGGCCACTGGTAACCCAATATCGTGTAGTAGATTGCTTTTCGGTTTTTCATTTATAATTTTTGGCCCGTGCCACCATAATTCCGAGTTTGATAACTGTGTTGGAGTTGTGCCGCGGGAC